AATAACCAAGCAGACGCAAAATTAACCAGCCCCACTCTACAATAACTTGTCACACCTTGGAACAACTAACTGCAATCTGTGAAGAACCAACAACTGTCTAGAACAGGGGTGTCAAACTGGTGGCCATCCAGCTGTTGTGAAACTTCAAGTCCCATCATGCCTCTGCCTTTGGGAGTCATGCTTGTAACTGTCAATCTTGCAATGCCTCATGGGACTTGTAGTTTGGCAACAGCTGGAGGGCTGCCGGTTTGACACCCGTGGTCTAGAACCAACCACACTGAAAAAAAACTGACACCCTGTGATAAACAGTCACATTCTACAAAAACTCTTTACCTTCTAGAACAATCAACTGCACTCTGTTATAACTCCTACCCTCTGGAACAGCCATTCACACTTCGTGATAACTGTGCACAAACAATCCAACACATTCTACAACTACCAGCCACCTTCTACAACAGTCAACCACATGCTACAAAGCCAGCCGCCTTCTACAACTACCAACCACACGCTACAATACCAGGAGCGTTCAACAACAATCAACCACTTGCTATAAATTCAGCCACCTACAACAATCCACCACACGCTACAAAACCAGCCACCTTCTACACCAACCAACCACACTCTAAAATAACACATCATCTTGTACAACAAGCAACTCTGCTCTAGGATACCCTGCCATGTTCTAGAACAGACAACCATACTTTACGATAATCTGTTACCCAATGAAGCAACCAACTGCACCCTGTGATAACTCACCCCCCTGCGATAAACCTCTGCACTCTGCAATACTCCGTCTCTCTCTGGAACAAAGAACCGCATGCTATAATAACCTGAAACTTTCTAGAACAGCCCAATATATGCTAAAATAACCCGCCACCTCTAGAACAACCCACAGCATTCCACAAAAACCTGTCACCCACTGGAACAGCAAGTTGCACTCTGTGATAACCTGTCACCCCACAAAACCCAACCGCACTCTACAATAGTCATCACTCCCTGACACAACCAGCCACGCCCTCCAGTCTGCCCTAATCAACTACATAGTACAATAACTCCTCACCCTCTAGAACAGCTTTTCTCAACCTTTTCAACGCAGAGAAACCCTTGACGTAACTTTTCGGTCTCAGGAAACCCCTGCTAAAAATGTCTTTATCTACAATTCATGATACATTAGTGTGATGGTCAGAGGTAAGAATGCTCCTTACACTTGTGGTCATTGGAAAGAATTACCCCCTTACAGATTACTAAAAAGATCAATGGTGTCAGTGAGAATTTATCTGAAAGGCAAAAATTGCTCAAGGAACCCCTGGCAACCTCTGGAGGATCCCTAGGGTTCCACGGAACCCTGGTTGAGAAACCCTGCTCTAGAACATGCAATCACAATCTGACAAAACTGCCATTCTTCGATTATCAACTGCACTCTACAATAACCCTCCACCCTCTAGAACAGCAATGGGCAAACTACGGCCCATGGGCCGTATACGGCCCGGCGGACCTTTTAATCCGGCCTGCGGAGCTAGGCTCCTCTCACAGTCCGCCCTGAAGACCGGTGTAGCATGAAAATCTGTCTCCTATGAGGATCTGTCCCCCTCGACGTATCTGCGCATGTGCCGGAGATCGCCGATCGGCTGCTAATGCCTGAAACTGGCACATGCGCAGATACGTCGAGGGGGACAGATCCTCATAGGAGACAGATTTTCATGCTACACCGGAATGGCGCGGGAACACGGCGAGAGGAACGCGCGGAGCAAAGGTAAGTGAATTGACACAGGGGGGACTTGGGGACTTAATATGGGGGATGAATTAATATGGGGAATGAATTACTATATGTGGGATGAATTACTATATGGGGGATGAATTACTATATGGGGAATGAATTACTATATGGGGGATGAATTACTATGGGGGATGAATTACTATATGGGGGATGAATTACTATATGGGGGATGAATTACTATGGGGGATGAATTACTATATGGGGGATGAATTACTATATGGGGGATGAATTACTATGGGGAATGAATTACTATGGGGAATGAATTACTATATGGGGAATGAATTACTATGGGGGGGATGAATTACTATATGGGGGATGAATTACTATGGGGGATGAATTACTATATGGGGGATTACTTACTATGCTTACTATGGGGGAATATTACTATACTTACTATGGATGACACATACACATCATTCATCTACTCTTGGTCCGGCCCCCGGGTCCAATATATGAACCCATTGCGGCCTTCAAGTCAAAAAGTTTGCCCACCCCTGCTCTAGAATGATCAGCTGAACTCTGATAACCCCAATCACCATGATACACTACCATCCTCTAGGATAATCATCTATGATAAGACAGAAGACTCTGTAACACACTAAACTCTGCAATAAACAAGTACATTCAAGAATAACCAACTGCCCTCTAGATAACCTGCTATACTCGTGGATGACACCTGTACTCTGGGGTACCAACCACACTTGGTAATTGAGAAATGTCAGATACTTGGATAGAGCAGTAAACAACAACAATTGTGAACTCAATGAGAATCCAATGCATGACGTGAGTATTTGCTGGTAGTGAGAGAAAAGCTGCTTCAGGAAACGAGGTGACCTCCAGGCCCCCAGCCCTTCATTCTGCTCTGGCAGTTATTACACACAATCTAAATGACACGTATGATGTATAGCCTGCAATAGAGTTGGATAATATACTTATCATGAGAGTAGAGACGTCCCATAGGTCTGTCATTGCTGTAAATAAACAAGAATCCCGGTTAACCCTGAACATCCACACCACACAAACTCCACGGTGACCTGAGGGTGTTATAATCACTGCGCCAACACTCCACTGCTATGTACTTACTGGAACAAATTTTATATCTTCCTCCGTGAGGACACAACATTCATATTTGCTGTTGAATCTTTTCGGTGCAGACCTGCCATATGCCGCTGTAATGCCCAAACCAGATTCTATTCCTCCACAACAAAGCAATCTTGCATACCCGTTTATGTCTACAAATATTTACCAATCACCACCTGCCGTGTGTCCGATTTTTTTTTTTTATTTCTATCACCTGTTCCCAAGGAAGATTTGTAAGCAGTCACTTACTGGAAGTAAACCAGGAAGTTTTAGTAAATATGGAACCTTATCAAAATCGTGATTCGAGGTTTAGTCCCTCGTGCCTCTCAGGAGTATCTCTGAGGATGAATTACCGTTCTGTACATACAGTATGCAGAAATGGGCATCTGGTACTCCCTGCAGTCATAATTTCCCTCCCTGACCCAGCTAGGGGAACCAGTTTTTTCCTCTTGTCTCTGTTCTTAAGGTAAAGTAAAGACAAAAGCCAAGTAATGAAAATACTAAAGCTAAGTAACCCATCTGGTCTGCCCATGTGGTTAGGTGCGCAAAGGAAAGGTTAGTAATGGCCACCCGCTTACTTTAACTCTTCAGTATCTGCCAGATATGAACACGCTGGTTTTAAGTAAAATGGCCCTTCAGTATTTCAACCATCCTGATCTTGATGGATAACCATTTATCTCAGGCATGTCTTACTGCCGATTTCCTATATCTGCAGGCATCCAGACGCCTGCCATCTTCTACCAAATATTATTTCTAATTACTTTATCGCAAGGTCTCCCGAGTTCTGCTTCATTTGGAAACACATTGGTATTTAAAACTTACATGTATTTTATGGTTTCAGTAATGTCCCCTCTTTAATGTCATATTAAATACACCTGAGTGAACCCATAAAACTCCATGAGCCTTCCCTGCTATGTGACAACCTTTACACCTTTTTTGGACTACGTCCAATCAATCATTATATTTTCTTGTTGATATCTTTGCTCTTGGAATATTGTGTTCCAGTTTTGGGGAGCTCATCAACAATTTGACTAAAGTTTTAGAGCTCATGTACACGGGGTGTTTGGAAAACTCTTCTGATCGATGGAAACTGACTGCTGGAAAATGTAGGTTAAAAAATGTTAGTTAACCGTGTTTGCACACCATGTTTGTTTAGAAGCGTTTTTAAAGAAAACCTCAGGAGACCTTCCCAAATACCCATAATGCACTGAAAAACAGTAAAAAATTTACTATTTCAGACATTTTGAGAGGAATAGAGAGAGCAGAAGCAGAGAGAGCAGTAGGTGTTGAGATGACCGGTCTTTTCTGGTTGTATTCACTATGGATCTCATCATGAGCATAATGCGGTACGTTCTACCCATTTTTTTCCTTCACGCGAAACCTGGAACTGATTACACTGGTGTACCGGGTCCATTTGAGTACCTAGAAAATGCTTTGCATGCATTTCTGATGATAAAAAAAAAGGCTCTGGACAGCATCCGGACATGGAACAGTTAAACAAACGCTTCTAAACGCAAACGCTTCTAAACGCAAACGCTTATAAACGCGGTTAACCGCGTTTACACGCATTTGGTGTTTGAAATGCCGGTAAAATCTACTCCTGAGAGTAGGTTTGGTGCGTTCAAAAAAGACGACTGTAAACTCAACTGCCTGTAGGCGACTGTAAATGACGATGTGTACATGGACACATAGGAAAACTTTAGGGAGACTTCAGGGACTGCTGAAAAAAAAAAAACCTCAAAAAAGCTCCTGAACGTCAGTTTATCAGCTGCAGTGCACATGAGCCCTTACACAGATAACCTATTTCCACTTTCTCTATAACTATGTCATCCAGAATTCCATTTGATTACATGAAATCACTTGAAGTTGTCATAAAGCCATAGCCAGGACTGAAGTAGTAGAGGATTCTCATCGAATCACAGTGCCCAGCAGGGTGAAATTGCATCCATGTAACATATTATGTTTAGGATTACTGGCTCTATTTTATAGGGGGTATGATTGGCATTTGCCTCAGGATCTCTGCAGGCTTACCAACAGATTTACTAAGGCTAAAGATTTGAGTACAAGGTAGCATTGTCATACCCCTGGTGATGTAAGGAGCTGGAGAGCTGTGCATTATAGAATTCCAAACGTGTCCCCTAACTGTTATCAGTTCTGTACCAGGGGCGGACTGACAACTCATGGGGCCCCCGGGCAATAGGGGATCATGGGGCCCCTGAGTCTTTGCCCAAACCCAAATTAGCCTATGAAAAAAACAAGGAAAGGTACCAGGGGCATCTCTTTGGGCCCCCTACTGACCCTGGGCCCTCGGGCAGTGCTCGAATGGTCAGTCTGCCCCTGTTCTGTACTATTCCTGACCCTAAACCTACACGAACATTTTTACCAGTCCTATTAGAGCTGCACAAAGTCTTCCAAAAAGTCTCAACCTTTTCAACACAGAGGAAGTGTTGAAATAACATTCTGGTCTCGGGGACCCCTGCTAAAAAATTACTTGAAGAACTCCTCATAATACATCAGTGGAAAGAATGCTCCTTACACTTGTGGTCATTAGAAAGAATGACCCCCTTACAGATAGCCTAAAAGATAATTGGTGTCAGTGGAAAACGGAGAGGCAGAAATTGCTCAAGGAACCCCTAGCAACCTCTTAAAGAACTCTAGATGAGAAACCCTGGTCTAAACCACTAGACATCTACACCAGGGACAATCTGGATAAGACTAAATACCGTATGTACACAATATCTGTCAGTACAATTGTTATGCAAATATATACACTAGTTGGCATTGGCCAAAATTGCATGTTTTTACTAGAGAGAGAGGGAGTGCTGCGGGCATCAGCTGTCCGGAAGGTATTTATTGTTGTGATCCAGGTGTAGGCTTGGGCAAAGGCATAAACAACATACTTAGATCTGATGAAACTTGTCCAAGTGAGCCAATGTTCACCTGTATGTAAGCAGCTCTGGCTCTGTATCCTTGTGAAGATGTACCTTATAACATATAACCAAATGTACTGTATAAGTGTTGAATTTCAGATTCACTTCCTAATTTTTATCAAGGTAAAAAAAACAAAAAACAAAAACATTTACCCGCTGCAAGAAAACCACAAAATATTTAGATACTACCATTCTTTGGTGGAAAATGTTCCTATATGTACCATTCGTCTTAGTTTTTTTTTTTTTCTTAAATTGCTATGTTTGTCGATTTTAATTTATGTGAACGTGTAGAATCAAAGCTTTTCCTAATGATCCCCCACAAAGGCTCATACTGCAAGACCGCATTTGCCATCGAAAATCAGATGTAATATCTGTTGTTTCGAATTTTGGATGTATCCGAATCTGTGAATCACAATAGTAATGAATTTCAGCTAATTCGAAATAACTTAAATGAATATGAATAAATACATTTTCTGTATGTTTCAATCGGATGACATGATGCTATACTTTGGGCCTTTTGTTAATGTTTGAAGCATGCAAAATAACGTAGCAACATATATGATCCGAATTAATTCAGATCCTTTCGTTTTATTCAAATAGGAGCAGCGCGGTAGCCTTTGTCTCTTGGACAATTAGCCAATTTTTTTTTTTGCATTCACATTTTTTATTATTAGAAAAATGCACTACATATGAAATGTAAACCTATTGCAATAAATACAGTAAGGTATGAAAGAAAGTGAAAGGAGGGCGCTCGTGAGCAGTGACTCAAGATTGCAGCGTGCTGAACTCGCTCCTTACTGCCCAGACACATCCGCCAGCCTACAACCCTCCGCAACCAGTCCCATCACCCGACCACAGACTCCCATGATCTTGGGGCACCTCATGGAGAAGAGCACAGTGTACACCTGGGTATCTACCGCTAAACAGGCAGATTGGGACCCAGACAAGGCTGGCCCACTTGACGCCATCTTGGGGGCCCTGGCCACGAGCCCGGATCCCTTCTTCCAACTACTAGCGGAGGATTTCGCTCATCTCCCAAAGACTGGTGAAAGCCAGGAAGAGCCCCCGATGCCTCCAACACTGGCCCTATGGGATGCCGTTCTCCTGGCTTGCTTCAAGGCTATGCTGCAAACCGAGCTCTCAGCCGCCACATCTAAGTTAGCAGCACATCTTACAGAGGAGATTCATGAGTTTGGGTCATGCACATATTAATTAAAAGACCAGATGGAGGTTGCCACAGTGGTCCTGGGGAATCATGAACAGGATCTCACGGACCTTAGGAAAGAACTAGAAGCATCCCTGCTTCATCTGGAGGACTTTGAGAATCGGTCCCTAAGAGGGAATCTGCGACTCTGTGGCATCCCGGAGTGGGTAACCGACCTCACTTCCACAGCTTTTGTTCTGTTCCAGGAGCTAGTGCTGGCTATCCCTATTGATCGGCTGGAGTTTGATCGCGTTCACAGGGCCTTGGGCCCCAAGAAATCGGACAGTCCATATGATATAATCATCAAGTTACGTTGTATCACATCGAGGAAACTCTCCTGTGAGCAGCCGGGGAGAAGCCAGATTTCCGGTTTCAGGGCCACCGCTACCAGGTCTTTGCTGACCTTGGCCATATAACAATTGTGAAATGCAACAGATGAAGCCCTACAGCTCAGCCCTGGTTGCCCACCAGATCAGGTACTACTGGGGTTTCCCCTTCAAGCTTTCTTTCTCCTTCAAGGGCTGCAGCCATGTGGTGACCTCGCCAGAAGAGGCACAATCTGTTCTTTCTTTGCTTCGTTTACTTCCACCTGGTGAAGATTACTAGAGCCCAGCAAAATCCCCCCCCCACTAGTGGGAGATGGCAACAGGGCGTAAATGCTCCTTCCCCAGCACCCCTTCTGCATCCGGATTCCCACGCTCTGATCCAGGATGAATCTTGGCACTGTAAATCTGGCTTACCCCATCTTGACCCGGCTGGGCTTCTCCCCCCAACCCCCCTCTTTTTATCCTCCGTATGATCTCCAATGGCCCACTGGCCCGAAAGCAGCCATGTGTATGGCGGCAGAGCTCCTCCACCCTGTACATCCACCCTCTGGGATGTGGTCCACTCCAGTAGTGGCTGAAGTAGCTTACACCCCCCTTCAGCTTTCTTTTTCTCTCTTTTCTACCTTCCTTTTTTTTTCTCCGTCTTGTATGCTGTGGGGCTGCAGTCCTGACCACTAGCGACCCTGGGTCCAACCTATACACATAATATCCATGGGTTTAACTCCCTACTAAAGTGGTCCAAAGTACTCCACTCCCTAAAGTCTAGCCGTGTTGATGTCGTTTGCCTACAGGAGACCAGGTTTTCCTCCTCCTCAGCTCCTAAGAACCTCTTCCCACACTGCTTAGCATCTGCTCCTGACAAACATAGGGGAGTTCTCATTGCATTTTGTCACCATCTTGTTTTCTCTTGCAACAAGGAAATAGCAGATCCCACGGGTAGATACTTCCTTTTGCAAGGGACGCTAAACAACCAGGTCACTCTGGTGATCTATTGTGCCTCCAACCGCTTCCAACATAGATTGTTTTTTTTTTTTTCCACCTACTTCAAGTGGTCATGCAATACTGCTTGGGGACTCTCCTCCTTATGGGGGACACAAATGTAGCCTTGGACTCCTTGGTCAATAGACAATATGCTCCTGGAATTGCCCCGCCACACGATTCCTCTGTAGAAGGTCAGTTGTGGACACTCTTACAGTCCCATAGTCTCAGACATCTGGCAAGAATTGCACCCCTGCAACCAGGATTTCACCTTTTACTTCAACCCACACTTTAGCAGGACTGACCATGTTCTAGTCCCACTTTGTTCACTATCCTGTATTGACAAAATTATGAGCCGCTCCTCACCTTAGTCAGGTTAAGGCCCCTTGGTGCTTTTTGCAACAATTTCCTGTTCCCGGGCAATGGCTAACAATACTGGAATCCCCTACGCCAGGGAATCTTCAAGCATCCTTCCCATATCACTGGACAAGCACATCTTTAGACTATCTAGAGATCCGTCTGACGCCCTCCTATTGCTCCCTGTTTATGATCATTTACTACTCCTTTTTGCGCACAGTCACCACTCTTATGGAGTCCTAGCGCTTCCCTTTGCTATTGTGGATTGGCCGAATCCATGCGGTGAAAATGACCATTCCCAAACTTTTACTGTTTTTAGACCGATTCGGATCCCCACCTTTGTCTTGTGACGCCTTCAAAATAGGATTCTTTCATTCATTTGGGCCCAAAAACATCTCAGAATAGCACGCTCAGTCATCTTTGCCCACGGTCTGAGAGGGGGTTTGGGAGTTCCAAACACTGCCAAATATTACATGGCAGCATAATTTCCCAACTCACTATGCTCCATGTTACATTGGACATCCCTCTTTGGGTGCTGCTAGAGCTCCTTTATTCTGCATCCATGCTGACCTCAGCTCTCTTGTGGCTCCTGGCCAATTTGCGTCCCCATCCTTGAGCCCCCTCATGTCACATAGTTTACACCTTTGGGACTCCATCCGATATTCTGGCACCTTTATGTCCCCATTTCTCCCTCTCCTTCCATTGCTGAATAACCCTCTTTTTCCCCCAGAACTAGAACAACCCCAAGCATTTTTGTGGTGGCCTGCGCATGGGTTCACTCGGGTTCACCACTTCCTGGGACCTCGTAGATCTCACTACGCAAATCATATGATTCTCCCCCAGCTGAATTCTTCCGCTAAATGCAAATACGCCACTGAATACTTACTCTCAGGTGCAACTCTATCTGCCTCCACTCTCCAAGTGTACATGGCACAATTCTGCATTCTACTCCTCCTTGAACACAGACAATCAGTCCACGTCCCTACCGTATGTTGCCAAGTGGAAATGTGATGTGGCTGCCCCCATGGACCCAGAAGACTGGAGCAAGGCGTGCTCCAGTGTCGTTAAATGTTTCTGCAACACAACTACTATGATGGCAGTCTATAAAGCCCTCCTCTGCTGATACTGGTTGTCAGCCCGTATTCCCATTTGAACCATCTTATAATGATAGGTGTTTTCGGGCTGTGGCCAGTGCGGGGATGAGATCCACACTAAGTGGACCTGCCCCTGCCTCCTGGGGCTTCTGGTCCAGGGTCTTTGGCCTCCTGTCAACCCTCTTCGATAAACGTTTCCACAAAAATGCTAGACAAACATTCCTCCACTACCCAATACCGGTACTCTTCTCTTAGCGCAAAATTAGCCACATATTTGTGTATAGCTGTCAAGTGGGCAAATAGCCAGAGCTTGGAAAAAACATTCAGTCCTGGTTGTGGAGGTGAAGAGCATCCTGACTACCCTAATGGTCCATGAGAAAATGACCAGTATTCTACAAGACACCCATGCCAGGTTCCTAAAGGTTTGAAACCTCTCTTCTCCCTCTTAGTCTTTCTTTTCCCT